AATACATTTTATTTATAATGCGCTTTACATTACAGAAGTAATCTCAAAGTGCTACAGAGTATAGGGGACAGGTATAAGGTACACAGCTAGTTAAAAACTGTTAAAATTTCAGGATACTATCAAGCATGGAAAATAAAAACAGTCCCCAGAAATAGATAAAACCCATCTGAAAAGTCATTACAGTAGATACAAACAATAAGTAAAAACAACACAATAAAGTAAAACACTCAATAAGTCATTGTGCACTAGAAAGCCTTTTTAAACAAAAAGGTCTTGAGGCCTTTTTTGAAAAGCTCCACAGATTGTGTGGCCCTTAGAAACGATGTATCTGATGTCCAGAGAGATCAAACCTGCAACCTTCCGATTACTGGACAACCCGCTCAACCTGTTGATAAATGCAATAACTGCAATATAGTGTATATAGTGACACACATACATACATATATATATACACACACACACACACACACACACACACACACACACACACACACACATATGTATATATATATATATATATATATATATATATATATATATATATATATATATATATATATATATACATATATATATATATATATAATTTCAATATAGTGTAGTATATATAAATATGTATATAGTATATATAAATCGTCGTCGTCGTCGTCTTCCTCCGCTTATCCGGGTCCGGGTCGTGGGGGCAGCATCCGAACTAGGGATCTCACGGCCGTCCTCTCCCCGGCCTTCTCCACCAGCTCCTCTGGCAGGACCCGAAGGCGTTCCCGAACCAGATTGGAGATGTAACCTCTCCAACGTATTCTGGGTCGACCTGGGGGCCTCTTGCCGGCAGTACATGCCTGAAACACCTCCTCAGGGAGGCGTCCAGGAGGCATCCTGACCAGATGCCCAAACCACCTCAACTGGCTCCTTTCGATCCGGAGGAGCAGCGGTTCTACTCCGAGTCCCTCCCGAATGTCCGAGCTCCTCATCCTATCTCTAACGCTGAGCCCGGCCACCCTACGGAGGAAACTCATTTCGGCCGCTTGTATCCACGATCTCGTTCTTTCGGTCATTACCCAAAGCTCATGACCATAGGTGAGGTTTGGGACGCAGATCGACCGGTAAATCGAGAGCCTGGCGTTCTGGCTCAGCTCCCTCTTCACCACGACAGATCGGCTCAGCGTCCACATCACTGCAGATGCCGAACCAATCCGCCTGTCGATCTCCCGATCCCTCCTACCCTCACTCATGAACAAGACCCCGAGATACATAAACTCCTCCACTTGAGGTAGGACCTCTCTCCCGACCCGGAGTTGGCAAGCCACCCTTTTCCGGTCGAGAGCCATGTGTCAGATTTGGAGGTGCTGATCCTCATCCCAGCCGCTTCACACTCTGCCACGAACCTACCCAGCAAGAGCTGGTTTCTTGTTTTTGTGCACTTTATGTTTTATATATGTATTTTGTTGTGCCTGAAATGAACAAAAAAAAGATTCATACAAAAAAAAAGCTAGGAGTACCACATCATCCGCAAAAAGCAGAGACTGTCATGTTCTGAGGTAGATGCCTAACCCAAGACATGCAGAATCAGAGACTGAGGCGAGTATAAAGGCAAAAAAATAAAATATTTTATTTTGGAACAGGAGAACTAAGGGCGCACTGGGGTCCAGCGGATGAGAAACAGGAAGCGGCGTTATGCGGAAGTGAAGCAGGAAAATGGAGGGGGAGTGAGCCGGGTTGATATCCAGAGAGAGATTGCAGTCCAGGAGGATGTGTTTGACAGATTGAGTTGAGAAGGCTGATTCAGAGAGGGAGCATGAGCGTGGTGGAGAGCGGGTCGGCTGAATGAGAGGTGATGCAGGAACGAACCTGAGAACTTCTTCCAGAGATCGGCAGAGTATCCAAAAATGCTGCAACCTGAGGTAAGGATCCAAAAATATCCACATTAATTGTAACTTCAAAAACCAAGCACAAAAACGAATCGAAAGGCAAGCAAAAACTGGAAGGGCTAGGGACCACCAGTTAGTAGCAATCATCCGGCGTTGAAGCATGATCACCCTCCTCCTTATAAAGCCGGCCCGCTGATGAGGATCAGCTGTTGCTCCCTCTCCTGTAATCAGAAACTCAGAGATGGTGAATAGTGTGAAGAGCACTCACCCCGGCTCATGACAGAGACGAGATTCTCCTGCCACCAAACTCGACACACTCCACACCACGGCTGCACCTAGAAATTCTGTCCATAAAGGTTATGAACAGAACCGGTGACAAAGGGCAGCCCTGGCGGAGTCCAAACCTCACCGGGAACAGGTCCGACTTACTATCGGCTATGTGAACCAAACTCACGCTCCTCTGGTAAAGGGACTGAACGGCCCTTAACAAAAGTCCACCCACCCCATACTCCTGGAGTGTCCCCCACAGGGGACGGGTATATATATATAAATATATATATACCCGTATATATATATATATATATATATATATATATATATATATATATATATATATATATATATATATATATATATATTTATATATATATATATAAATGCAATATGGTGTTGAGCTACTGCTGCCCCAAATTAATTGGTCAAAACCTGTACAATATTTTTCCCAGTATAATGAATAATTCTAATTTCCAGCCTGTGACGTGTAATTATGTCCAGATTAAAAACACACGCTGGTTTCATTTACATGACATTCACACCATAGAAATCTGAAGCCAAATGGGACTCACAACAAATCTTCCAGTGCGCTGTGGGTAATCTGGTCTGACGTAAACTGTTGGTTTAATCTGATTTTTGTATTACTCAGACATGAGACACAAATAGCAGATATGATTTAGAATAGGAGATGAAAGGAGGATATGTTCTGATTAGAAGGAGACAGAATGCGAGGCATCAGAGAGCAGCGTCACTTCAACATATAAAACCCCCCAGGCCTCATTTTCTAATCACTGCTCTAGTAAAGATGAATTTGCAGCCGGTGCCACTTCCAAAATAATGAGGAAGAGTATTTGGAGAAACTGTCTGATAAATTATGTGCAGATACGATATCACTTTGGAAGATTTTGTTTGTATTAGAGTTAATTTTGCAGTTTAACATCTGGTTATACCTATTTACAAATCTGTGTACTTTGTCAAACACTGAAGAAAATAAATTGTTGTTTCCAGCATGCATGAAATGAAAGTATTAGTATGCTGTCAACTGGAACAGTTTAGTTTCATCTCACATTTGTAGTTAGGAAGATTAGGATGATGTTAGATGAAAGATTGTAAACAGTGTTGAATTGGAGTTCAGAAATCTCACAAATAAAATCTAAAAAACTAAAATAAATAACTTTCTTCAATACTGCAAAAAGTACTCACCCTCTCAATGATTTTTCTTCTTTTTGGGACAAAATTCAGACAAAAACCTGACTAAATAAAAAGTGTAGTTTTGAACCGATTAATTTGTTCACCAAAAGAAGTAAGCTACACAATAAGGCCTTGACCTGCGTGAAAAGGTTAATAAAATAGAATAGAATAGAATAGAATAGAATAAAATAGAATAGTGTCAGGCTGTATAGCGTAACGACTGCAGTTTAATTATGACCAATAAGATGTGATGATTCCATATAAATATGAAATATCAACCTGATTGATCTTTGAATGTTTAATCAGAAGAGTTTAGGATTCTTTGCTTGTTCAGGGACCATAAACACACTTTGTATTCATTCAGACAGAGTCAAGTATATAGTTGAAAAAATGCATTTTATTTTTCTAAACTAATTATAATACATGACAAGCTATGTATAACGATATGTGATGAAGTGCATGTATAGTGATGTAAAGTAGATGTTAATCTGAAACTGAATAACTCAGGAAGTCATCCTAGTTTTATTAATCCCCATGTTATGATTTCTGGTGAATCAGAATTTGACATGTTCATAGCTTTACCAAACATCCCTCAGAAACCACACCTTCCAGATACAAGATGTACTAATTCTGTGGATAAAGAATCTTTAAACCTTATGTGAGATGGCCTTAATCTTAATTTGCATCTTAAGAACATTGTGTATGAGTGTAGATAATGATTAACTTGTTAAATCAAACTGATCAAAAGATGTAAATGGATCATTGTCAGAACAATATTCATTTCAACTTCAATGATTTAGGCACAGATTATTCAAACATTTCATTTAACATCTGGTTCATTCAACCATATGATTATTTAAACATATGAGCTGTAAATGTTCACTTTTTATTCAGAGGGAGGAATCCTGCAGTTGCGATAAGAGGAAAGGCTTGGGAGAGAGAACGTTTGTTGACTATCTTATTATCTTGTGTAACAAGCACTGCATAATCTTCTGGGCATTGGAAGATAGAATAGAAAATCCACCTAGATTGTGGACTTGTTCCTGTAGATGATGTAGGTCAATATATAGGTGAAACTTGACCCTTTATGGATGTTACAATAGCAAGGGCGTAGGAACGAGTTAAATATTGGGGGGGGGGGGGGGGGGCATTTTGGAAATTAACTAATCTGTTGTAGGTCAATAGGTCAATATATAGGTCAACCTCACTGAGAAAATACATTTAATCATTATTTCTGATTATAATGGGTCACTCCTACACCTATCTCCTCATTAGCTTCTGATAGAAAACAGACGGTGAAACTCTGGGATATGAAAAGCCTGAAAGATGTGACTCAGGGCGTAAGGCAAAGCCCAGAAAGACAAGAAAATATCTTTTATAGTCCAGTTCACTAACATTCTCTTCTTTTCTTTTCTTTTTTTTTTTGATCGGGGACCCATGAGCCAACTAGAAGGGGAGGAGACATAAGCTCCCCATCAGCCTGATCCAGTTTTGATCACTGGCCAACGTGGATGTTTTAATGATAAAAAAGCAGTTTTTATGTCAGTACTGTTTTATTTTTATTTAATAATATGAATGTAGGATATATTATCTTATTCATATGGGTAGAGATGTGTAAACAGATTTAACACAAGACTAAAACTGTGAATATTCAGTCTGAATCATAGACTGTACATACTGGACAAACGGATTCCATTGGCTTCAATAACACGTTTGTTGTCTATAATGGGAGGTGGCCACCACCGCCATTTTGACCGTGTCACAGGTTCCGTCCAGCCCAGACAATTCCATAAAAGGGAAGAGAGGAGGCGCTGAGGGTGTGGCTGTAAAGCTGGGCTCGAGTGACGACACCCAGGCGAACTAGCTACGAGCTAACCTGAAGCTAACCCTGGCTAACCCAAAGCTAAAGCGGAGGTGGGAGCCGAGCTAACGGATGTAGCCACCTAGCTTCAACCCAACCGGAGCTAACTGGAACACCCATCGACCTGAACCTCACACGGAGTTTAGGTGGAGGTTTTCTGCGCCTGTTCGTGAGAAGTACCTGTATTAAAAAAGTTTTAAATCGGTAAGTTTATAATTTATTTCCGTAATGAATACATTTTGCTTTGAGCAAGTTTTCAGTAGTTTTTTTCGGCGCTATCACTCCTGAGTCGCACCAGCCATTAAATGTATCATGAAGAAGAGAAAATATATTTAAGTCGTATTTTGGGGGGACATTTTATTATCTTTCTTACAAAATCTGAGACCAAGCGTTTCACATTGCAACACAAGCACCGGTAACCATAACAGAATGAACAGCCAGCAGAGGAGAGGATGGCGGTGTTTCAAACCCTCCCGGCCGGCGTGTAGAGCTCATTCCTGGGCTGGAGCCGGCCCTCAGCACCCCGCCACAGGCTCTAACAGATGCTGGCGGTGTTTCATATATTTCCAAAACGTAATACTTGTTTGTATCTTGTACAGCCAACTAGCCTTTATTCTGGACTCAGTACAATTTACCAAAAGTAAAGAGACATTATACAGATGAAGTAAGCACAAGATAACTTACTGGAAGACACAGAGTTATCATCAGAACCAGAACAAGAGAGCCTGATAACAGTCATGTGAAAATAACAGTTAAAAAGTATGTATGTATAATAGAAATAAAAATAAATTAGAATTAGTGTAACTCACTGTGTTTCAAACAATAAATCAGCCATAGCTGATTAGTAAATATGACATGAGGTCTGGGAGTTTTTAAGTTTCATTCTTTTATTACATTTTTTTCTTAGATCTATTAAAAGGTCACCATGGCAGCCTGTGTGTCAACGTCAGCTACACAAAGCAGCAAGTGTAAGTACCAAGTACTTGTCTTGACCACTTCATGAATGGTTTTGTACTTTAAACAGCTAGGCCAAACCTGTTATTTTTTCCTCCATAGCCATTTGGATCATTGGAGACAGCTACGTGAGGCGTGGTGCCCAGAGAGCTGCAGAGACAACCTTGGCCTCCCTGACGTCTGTGTCTCCTGGTTTGGTTGGGGCGGACCATCGACATACATACATGTGCCGACACTTTGCGCCCTGTTTTATAAACTGTAGTGTTAAAAATAAATGTTTTTGCTCAATTACTGGAATTTCTTTGGTTAAGACAAAAGTGAGGAATAATCATTTACAAGTTATTTGTACAACAGGCCCATTTTAAATCCCAACAGTTTCTTAGCAGACAATAGAAATGTGTTCTTTACTAACTTTACTTGGTTTGAAAATCTTACTAAAATAAACTTGAGTGCCGTATTGCAAAACCCAATCATACTTGCTATGTAAACATTAGCTTTGTAGATATTTTTTACAGATATATATTTGTGTGCAACAAAAACCAAACTTAAATAATTTGTCATTCTTTATTGAAAAACAACAAAATACAGGTATACAGAAGTGTGGGAAAATGATAATGTGAAAGTATTGCACTATAAATGAAGTGAGATGAGATGAAGGTGAGATGAAGGTGGACGCCAGCGGGCTGGACGCCGGACGAAGAAACCTGGAGACGGATCGCTCAGACAGGAAGGGAAGAGCTTCCTCTTACCTTGATGGAATTAAAGTTAGCCGTCGTCTGAACGCCCAACCGTACGGTCTGAGGTCAAAGGTCACAGGAAACACACACCAGTCAGCAGTCATACAGATGCATAAAGATAACTGTAGCCATGGCAACCAGCTGACATGTCCCCACTTTCACCAGCACCTGGTGCCTGCCGGGTCACCTGAATTCCTGTGTGATGTCAGCATGGTCGGCCGTGACTGCGGCCATCAGAGGTGACCTCTGATCAGCTGAATGAACTCACCTTCCAGGGTGACGCCGTGTTAGAGTCGGCTTCATCCTGTAAACAAACAAACAAACAAATGAGTGGTAACATAAACACCACGTCTGGTTCTGGTGGAGGCGGAGGACAACATGCACCTTTCCAGGAGCAGAACCCAGATGTTCTTGTTGCTACAAACAGAGACGAGCAGAGTTAAACCAGGAAGTGAGAGGGACCAGCTGCTGCAGACAGGTGACGCTCACCTGAGCCTGAACCATAGGAGCCTCCTCAGCCATCAGACCTTCTGACTCCAGTTCAGATGCCACCTTGTTGATGTCCCTCAGGCGGGACTCGTTGGCCTTCAGGTCCTGCAGGACAAAAGCACCTGCTGATTACCTTGTTGCGTTCGGGTTAACAGGTCTGGTGTTAGAACGTGGTGGATAAGAATGTTCTGACGGGCCGAGGGTTCTGAACTCACCCTGCAGGACTGGGCCTGCTCCTTCAGGGCCTGGATGCTGCTGCCGTAAGCCGACAGGTCCGACATCAGGGCCTCGTGCTTCTTCAGGAGAGCCTGTGGAGCAGAACATCAGAACCTTCAGCTCATCTGACACAAGTGGAGCTTTCTCGCAGCGATGGTCCAATCGGATCCGCCACCGTAAAACAAACCCTGCTCAGTACACCGCAGACGTAGCTCTGTGGGTGTTTAGTGGAAAAGCGTGAGCCTTCTGCCGGCTGCCACGTGTCATGGCTGCTCTGCAGCGGGAACACACATCACAGCTTGTAAACCGTTTGAAATAAGAGTGCCGGGAACACGTTTGTCATCACTTCCTGTGCGAGGCCAGCACTTCTACCCCTAACCCATGAGACGCTCAAACGAGCAATGACGTCTGGTAGACAACCGAAGGAAATGACAAATACAGAAACACTAATTATGAAGGACTGGAAAGAGAGCAAAGAAAAGCGATTGAAGTTTCTCAGGAAGGGACTTCCATACCTCGGCCAAGTCCTCGTCTTTCCCTTAGTCTGGACTTCCAACGATGGGCTCCTTCTCCCTCATCCAGGACTCGGCCTCATTAGCATCCGCAAAGTACTGCTGGGCCTGCAGAGAGTCCTCCAGGTCCTGCCTCCTCTGGGACGCCTTGGCCTTCAGCGTGTCCCAACGTCCATGAAGCTCCCACAGTTTAGTCTTCACCTCCTCACCAGCGAAGTGACCTGGACCCAAAAAAAGTGAGCCAGAACCTGCAGACACCTCAGAAACATGTCAGGACCAGACCTGCTCTACCTTCTTCCAACATGGTCTCTCCTTTCTGGGTGACAGCCTTGATGCGAGGTTCATGACCTGTGATCTCAGCCTGCAGAGCCTGGTGCTTCTTCAGCAGGTTCTGGACACCAATCAGGTCCTTCCCTGAGGACACATGTTAGAGTTCAGCATTATGCAGTAGACAGACCAGTTTAACCCAGGGGTTTCTTTCTTCTACAATCTGCTCTTTAACTGTATTATTTCCTGCTATTTCAGCTGTTAACTTTATTTTTTCTCCAAGTGTTTTTCTCCCCAGAAGAAGCTACAACGATGTTCTGCTGAGCTGTGGTGGCCTCATGGAGGGGGCCATCGGCTAGCACACTGCTGCTAACCACTTAAACATTCTCCCTCTCCTGATAGTAACATTTTACTTTCTTTGATGTTGGATGTGGTGCTACTAGTTTACCCGTTTAATTATAGATTCACTAGGATAAATACAATAAAGTTTATCTCTTGCCAAATAGAATATTTACTGTGGCGAGCCCGTGAAGAGGTGTAGGAGAATGCGACAAATTTGTCTGTTAAAAAGTTTGTTATATACAAAAAACACAATATCATCACACTATTTTGGACCGATACATGACGGTCAGGTCCGGCTTGGGGAGAAAATATGACACGTCTTTCAGGATGGACTTCATCTTTGGTAGCTGGCGAAGCCGGGAAAAGCAGGATCTAACCACCTGGCTAATGTGGGAGTCCATCCGCATCTCTGGGTCCAAAACCACCCCCAGGTTAGTGATGGTTGGCTTCACTAAGCTGCAAAAACAGGGTTGCAGGACAGGACTAACTGCAGTGGGAGAGGGAGGAACAAATATTCCAGTTATAAATATTAAATATTTGAACAAATAAATATTTGTTAAAAGGAAGAAACTGATGATGACTTTAAGATTAGAGGAATGTTCTAGAACGGGTCTGGAACCAACGATGGCCCTTTGGATCAAATTTGGATTAAAAAAATAGCTCATGATTTTATTTATGGATGGAATAAAAATACAGGTTGTAAGCATCTTCTCAGTATCTTCATGTTGCACGACTTTCCACAGCAGAAGGACACAAAAACTGCCAGAATTATGATAAGAAAGATTTACGTTTTAATCTCAGAATCCCAACTTTTCCCAGAATCTTCACATTATTCTATGAATTCAGAGAAAATATACATTTTATGAATTGATCTGACTCTCATCAGAATATTTTAAACTACATCAGCCAACAATGCTGACCAACAATCAGAACAATCTGTTTGCTTCTGACAGAATGAAAAAAGAAATAACAATTCACTCACAACAACAGCTGGAACTAAATTATTTTTCAGATGGCCAAAAGAAAAAACTCTAGCCCAAACTGCAGTCTAAATGCACCAGAATGCAGAGTTTAACACTTATTTTTCCTAATATTTCTAAGGAAGCATGTACAAAATTTATTTTATTCTAAAGCCGTACTGCCCAGCCCTACTTGTTATGGGATTACATAAATGTAACTGTATCTTCTCACTCTTCACTGTAGCACCTACCTGCACCTCAGCAGGTCTGGCTCTCCCTGTCTCACCCTCAGCCGATTCCTGTTGAACTTGATCTGATCTCTAATATATAAACAGTGGACATGAATAAGGAGTAAAAAATACTGTTGGAGGACTAGTACAATATTAAAATCATGCAAAACATAGTATTATTTAGTCATGTTCACTTGTTATCATGCTCGAATCGTCCTCTCATCATCAACCATCTAAAATCTCACTCTTCACTGTAGCACCTACCTGCACCTCAGCAGGTCTGGTGCTCCCTGTCTCACCTTCTTCATCATTTTCCTGCTGAACTTCCTCTGATCTCTTATATAAAAAAATGACATGAATAAGGTTTAAAAATAAAATTTGACGAGAATGTCACAAACAAGCAACAATCACACTGACAAACTCCAGTTTTATGTGAAGATTCAATTTTTATTATTTATTTCGTGTCAAATGTTTTTTGTCTGTTATGGGCTCGACACACGGGAGGCGACAAATGACCACAATCAGCGAAATTCGTCGCTGTCGCTTTTATTACCTGACACACGGGAGGCAACCCGCGGCAATGGCCAGCGGCAAAGCCATTGACACGTTCTGTTCCATGGCGAAATCAAATCTTCCGTCGTTTTGATAGGCTGTGTCAGGTTGGAGGGAATTAAGGTTACTTAAGCGGTTCAGAGTTAAAAAAGCGGTAGACATGATGTTTCACACAACACATTCTCACACCCAAAGCGTCAATATATGACGCGTGTGACCAAGCGTCAATATATGACGATTCAGCATTCCCCAGCGCGTCAGGAGATGACGATCAGGGACACACTGATGACACACCATCTCAGAGCATCGGTATCCGATGCCGGTGGTGAGACGGACATTAGACCTACTTGTGAACTACTTAACCTTCCCCTCACCCCAATCCTAACCTTAAGGTCACAGTTACTGAACTTAAGGTTAGGATTGGGGTAAGAGGAAGGTTAAATAGTCGAATAATGTCCGTGTAACCTAGGGTGTCAAACACTGACGGCAGCGGAGCCACGTGTCCCTGCATGTCCCTGATCGTCGTCTCCTGACGCGCTGGGGCATCCCGAATCGTCATATATTGACGCTTTGGGTGTGAGAATGTGATGTTTCACAAGGTGCTGCTAGAGTTATGTGAAATCTCACTTCTGATTTTACTATATAAAAAAATAAACCCGAGAATGGGTTCATCCCATGTTACAAACCAGGAGAGGGCTACTCTGTCTATCAGAACATGCTTCAATTTATCACACGGTTTGGACCTCACATTAAGATGAACACAGTCACAGAAGGAGAAACAGAGTCATGTTTTCGCAGAGATGTACGGAGCATCCTGTCCGCTCATTGGTCAGTGAATGAAACCTCCGTTGATTGGTCCTCGTCCGAACGACAGCGAGGAAAAGTTGAAAATATTTCAACTTTCTGGCATCACGTCGCTGAGTCGCCTGTGCACGACACGTGCACAAGCGCAAAATTTCACACACACGTTTTCCGTGTTTCGCTTGGTAGGAGGGAGACCCACGATTATCGCTTTGTCGCGCATGTCTCATTAAAAATGAATGGAGGAGAGGCGATGTCGCCTCCCGTGTGTCGAGCCCATTACTGTCAAATTCGCCATTTTTTTGTTGACTAGTAGTGTTGTTTAATGTTTAATGCTAGCTAGCAAGATGTTTACATTAGTCAGCCAGCCTAACGTTTGACCAGAAATACATTTATCTTTCTTGGACTAAATTATTACCAACTCACATTTCCTTTCTTTCTTTCTTGCCCATGAGAAGAACCTGCTGAGCTGCTGCTGTCGTCTCATCTCTGACACCTGTGTCTGCGTCCGGCCAGCCAGCCTGTCTGACTCCCTGAGGCGAGGGGCTGTGCTGGGGAGAAGTCCGTGGTGTCTTTCAAAATAAAAGCTCACGAGTCAAATATTTCTAAATCTAATTTTTTCTTCTCCATTTTATTGGGGGGCACAAATGCACGTTTTTTTCAATATTGGAGGGGACACGTCCCCCCCCCCCCCCACCCCCACCCCCCACCCCGGTTCCTACGCCCCTGTACAATAGAATAGAATAGAATTTTCTTGTCCACTGTGGTGGAAATTACCCCCTAAACCTAATAGCTGGCTGTAGCCCCCTTAGTGGTAACAACTGCAGCGAGTCATTTGTTATAATTAGTGTCTGACATCACTTTAGACAATTTTTGTTCTGCTCTTCTTTACACAATTCTGCTGCATTAGAGGCTGAAACACAAATAGGGAAAATATATTTCAGTGTTTGGTACATTTCACATGTGTAAGACCTTCAAATAAATCTAAATGCACAGTTTTAAGTCATATGATCAAGGGTTAAATTTTACTTAAACGTATTGACCTTTTGTTCATACAAACGTAGCGTAGAAATCTAGATGGCTAACATAACACATTAGCTTATAACTAACACAACAACTTTTAAAATTTGTTCATATAACTCAGCTCAAATAATTAACTCAAAAATTATATTACAACACCACAACAATGGGTAACTTACAAACAAATATACTCCAGGGCTTAACCACTCCTGAAGAGCGATCATGCTTGTTTTTCTTTCTTTTAGTATGTAAAATCGTGATTATAAAAATACATTTTGTTTTCAGGCTGTCTTTGTCTATCAGTGAAATTTGTTTGCTGCAGAGCAAACACAGACACTAAACACGTGTGCTTTCCCCCCATCATTTTAAACCACGTGTGACTTCCAGTCTGAACATCAACATGAAGAATGGCTCTATAAGCTGTGTAACTAGATTACAGTGGCTGTGGAAAACTGTAGTTGACTCTGAGCAAAATGGAAAGAAAGCAGCAAAGTGTGGTAAAAACTAATTAGTATGGCAATCAGTAAGAAAATATGACATCTTCCAAGGTTTATTGTGCAGGTAATAAAGATTAACAGCTACTTGCACTGAAACATATTACAGCTATTGCAATATCCAATAGAAGAAAACACGGATGCTTTCCTACAAACACAAATGCTCTGTAACAAAAATGTGCACACTCCAGTGAAATAATAATTTGTAAGTGCTCAGGGGTCCCCGGGAGGAACACAACTGCTGATTAACCAGCTTTCAGGCTCCATAAAGACCTGGGTGTAATTTATGACAGCCATTAACACTGTCAGGTTATCAACAAACACACAAACACACACATTTAATAAAGAAAGCACACACGAAGGCATGCTCAGAAATATTAGTGTGTGATTGTCATCAAATAGGAAGAAAAGGCTGCAGATACACACTCAAACAAAATGAATGACTCGTGGTAGAAAATAAAACGACACATTTCCATTTCATTTAACTTAATCCAAAGACAAGTTTAGGAAACAGAAGATTGTGTTTTTGAGAGTTTCTGCTTTGACAGTTTGTGACAGAATAACAGAAACAAACCCAAACCAATCAATCGAGTTTTGCATTAAAGATCTGCCTGTGGCAAATAAGTGTTGTTAAGTGGTGGCGAGTAATTCAGCCATTCTACTGTTACATTCTGGAACAAGAGAAAAACAGATGTGTTTGTTTTTGTTCTCAGGCTGTGATTGGTTCATGACCCCTTCTTTCCACCCGAGCCGTCAGCAGCACGTTACTGCAGCAGCACGTCTTGCTCGTGTAAGCTGCTGCTTGGCCCTTCCCACGAGACGCGAAGCAGCAGGGGAGCAGCTGTCACCGACAGAGCACGAAATCACACGAGTGACTTCGTCAGTAAACACAACAACAAGCAGGAGAAAACTACAACATGGCTCCAAAAGGTTTATGTTTTATGTTCTGTCCGTTTTATAATCGCCAATACGGACCTGAAAAACAAAGGAGACTGCTAGCTAGGTGATAACTTCTCACGGGGCCGCACATTTAGTAACTTTTTTTAAAGTAAAGCAACCGGAAGGAAGTACGTTTCTTTATTCTGAAAATCTCGGAAACTTCTCTCCATTTCCGCGTCCGATTTCCTGTCTTTCCTTCCCCAAAAATGTCGAACTTGACCCGTTTCAGAGGCGTTGCGTGTAGAAAATAGAACCGGCGCGTAAAGGCCGCGACATGCTGCTCCTGAGACGCGGCCGACTCGCGCTGCTGACGGCTGCTGACGGCTCCTGTGGAAAAGGTTCTGTTGACCACAGTGGTTCCTATCAGCAGCTATGACTTGCTGCTGCAGTAACGTGCTGCTGACGGCTCCTGTGGAAAGCAGGGGTCAGTCTTTGGTTCACTTCACAATCAGCTGATTGGTTTGCTTGTTTTTGTCAACTGAAAGTGACTAAAAGTTGCTGCAGAAATCAAACTGATAAGGAAGCAGGACGCTAACAAGACAACGACACAAGCTGTCAACTCGCCGGGCTGACACTGAGGGTTCAAAGGGCCTTTCTGGTTTGTTGCTTGAAGTTTGAACAAGTTAAAAAAATGAGCAAGTCTATCATTAATAGGGTTAGAATTATCACATGGCTCTGGATGTTTTAGATAATGAACACAGCTGATTTGTTTAATTTAGTGAGGAATCACTCTTGTAGACAGTAATGAATGCTGGGGAGACATTTCAGCTGTTAGATTAAGGTGTAAAAAGACGAATGCACAGTGAGGAGATATGTTTTCCTTTTGGTTCTACAAATGGACACTAGGAGGTGCTAAAAGCAAGCCAAAACTGCCTAGTTTCCCTTCAACTCCCACAAATAAGGAAATGTAAGAAATGTGAGACAATGCTGGAAAGCCGGTAAAAAAAAAGAAAGTTAACAGCAAATCAGTGGACATAGTTTGGACACTTTGAGACTAAAGTGTCACAATAATATTTACATTGGATATTGTAAATTGTCATGAATTACATCATACGACTCACATGGCCAGGCCACATCACGTAAGTGTAGTGTCCATTCCAAATGAATGTGATTTGTAAATTTACACATTTTCTTTCAGATTTGTGCTTCTAAGTGAGCTACCAGACCAGCTATAATGGAATGTTCTTCTCATATCTTCAGTTCTTTGGACCAGAGTTTATTTTTAGTAAGAGATTATCATAATTTTCTTTTGACTGATTCAGGGGTTCACGCAAACTAAAAAGCAAAGAACAGAAGTCAGTTGTACAGCCTGACTTGTCAAACCTGGATTTGTGGGGCAACTCTGTGTTTAACCATTAGATAGTTTGTAGGAACATCAGCTGCCTTAACCTCTATGCTCATAAACAATAGGTTAAAGAAAGCAGAACAATGATTTTTTTTGTCTAAGGTGGCTCAAAAATTCACACCATGTAAAAAAAAAAATTAATCCAGGATAAATTTCCACTTGCCATCAACAGAAGCACCCTAACTGGTTGTTTACTGGTTTGTGTCACCTTTTGGAGGAATGTTAGAACCCAAAATGCAGAACCCAGGATGACACGAGACAAGAGTGGATATGAAGAAAAGAATCATTTTATTGTAGGATAAAACAAAATTAAATCCAAAAAAAGGTAGGGAGCCAAAATCCAAACATCCAGAACCTGAGAACCAAAGCCCACTTAGAGCACAAACGGGGACGGAACAGGAAGCTCACTCCGAGCACCAACACAACACTGAACAAACAACAATAAACCAACAAGACACAGAGACAAGACAGGGCTTAAATACACTGGGGCATAATGGGAGGCAGATGAGCTGCAGGAGTGTGGAGTGTGGGGGGAGGACCAGGTGAAAGCAATGACTAATCAGGGAAGAAACTAACATGACCTAAGAGTGAAACTAAAAACAGAAAAGCAACCATATAGGTACAATTCTAAAGGGAAGGAGAACTACAAAAACCGGTGAGACAAAACATATTAAAGAGACTAATAAAAATGAAAAGCTGAAACTATAAACACTGCAGAGGGATGACTGGCTGCAGAGGAGTGGCTGGAGAAGACTAAAGGAACACAGGGGACACATAAATGAGATGCAGACAAAGGACACATGAGGGCGCTATGAAACACACTAGGAGAACCTGGAGTGGGAACTGGAGGGGCTGGTGAACAAAGGGACACAGAACATGACAGTTTGGAAACATCAATTATGACCAACTATTGATGAGCAATACCTCCAGGATTTTTGGCTCAGCCCAGCTATAGAAGAGCTACAGCCGCACCACTCGCTGCAGAAGGAAATTATTAATTCATGAAGGACTTCAGCCAACCAGTCCAGCGTACCCATGTTGCAAACATTAAATTATTTTGAAACTAACACAACTTCAGATGTAACACCACCCTCAGGCCAGTGCAGCTGAACCACAGATCCCATTAAACCAGGCTGGTTTGAAGACATCAAACATCAATAAGATCTATTCAAAGCAGCAGGTCCCTAATCTGTTTAGACCTCATGAGAAGAGCCCTGCTTCTCTGCTAAGTGTTGCAGTGACTGTCAGGTGGATCATAAAACATCTCAACTCTCTGAGCATCATGTGTGCGAGTTGCCATCATTCAGCAATAACAACTACAGATTCAGTTACTTCATTGTATAAACAATAATATTAGGGCAGTGTGACAGATGAAAATCACTTGACATCAGTGATGACATTAATACATGCATCTATGAAGTGCAGCAGCATGGTCTGTTACTGCAGACTTCACCCCCCCCCCCCCCGCCCCCACTCACACACACACACACACACATCCTCAAATCAGAATGACATCACAGTTTTTTTTCTTTCACTTTTTGTTTTACAGAAATTGCCCATAGAGACGAATATCTTTATTATATGTCTAAGTTTCACTCTCAAGGCCTCCAGTGGAGATAATCCTGAACTCATTTTAACCTAGTAAATTCACCTGATTGTGACTGAATGAAGGATGTTTTCCAGTATAATAAACAATAAATGACTCACACATGTATCAGACGACTCCATAGCACTTTACAGTGGATCATTCATCCATTCACACACACATTCACACACTGATGGTGATGAGCTACATTGTAGCCACGGCTGGGGCACACTGACAGACGTGAGGCTGAGGTACACTGTCACCACCAGTCCCTCCAACCACCACCAGCAGGCAGGGAGGGTAAAGTGTCTTGCCCAAGGACGCAATAGCAGAATTCCCTGCAGACAGCCGGGATCGATCCTGCAACCCGCCAATCACTGGACAACCCGCTCTACCTCCTGAGCCGGTAGGTGAAGGACTGATGGTGCCACAACTGTTCACTCTGCATCAGCATGATTGTTACTGATAACTCATTCTTTAACTCCAGACTTGAGAGTTTTTGAACACAAGACCTAAAACGAAAACAAGGTCAGTTTTATTTATTTACTGGGGATCCATAGAGTTTGATTTGGTAACATTTTCATTTGACATGATTAGGTGCAGATACATCATTTTATTTCAACCTGTAACATTTTACAAGTGTTTCTTTCTGCAGACTGAACATGATTTAAAGCACTGAAAGGTGTCTTAAAAGAAAGCAAAGACCCCAAACTGTTGGATTTCTGTTGTTACCTGCAGAAATATGTCTTAGATTACAAGTTCAACGACTGTTACAACTACTAAAATAGTAAAGACAATGTCTGGTGCAGGGTGTGTCACAAAAAGAAAAATAACGTACTCAACTGTTTTAGGTCATTAACATGTTTATTCTTACAGCTCAGGCTAAACTAACACACGCCATCTAATTATAAAACAAAATACAAAACATTGATAAACATAAAGGTAAAATGGCTAAACTACCTGTCTGATCACATGAACAGGAGAAAAGTCTTTAACTAAACCAGCTTCTGTCAGAGTGTCACAGGTGTGACTCAGGGAGGAGCCCAAACTGTCAGCTGAAAGGTAGAGATAAAACTATCTTACTTTGTTTTTAAATAGGAATCTGACAAAAAGAATTAAGAAGACAAAAAAATAAAAATGAAAATAAAAATCCCAGAATGAACTTAACACAGATCTGAAAAATCTAGACCTTTTGTTTTAATTGTTTTACCAAATGTTTTATCTGTTTAACTTGTTTCTCTGGTTTTAGTGAATATCACTTTGGGCCACTTTGGCGGTGAAAAGGTTCTCTAGAAATAAATACATGATAATGATGCTGTATCCTTTTTTTATTTGTATTTTTTTACACATTTTTGTCACCTGAGAATATTTTGGGGATAATTTAATGCTAAAGTATTTTTTAAATGCCATTAAAGCCAGACAGGATTCACTCACTGGATCCAACTTGAACCAAAGGCCATAAAATCAAGGTACAAACCAAACCTAGATTATAGGCAACCCATTACATCTGACATAATTTTAACTAAAGAGACATTTCTCTGAATGATTAATGAACTCTCCAGCTGAGTGTTGTTTACTCATTAGGCTCTGATTGGTCAGGGCTGGTCTCTGGCAGCATATATAAACCCTTCCCATGCTCTCTTTCTACACAGCTGACTTTCAGTATGGTGACTGTTCAGGCCTTCCTGGGGTATGTTACAATGATGCTTGTCTTAATGAATCTGTTGAAAAATACTTGCTCATGATTTTATGTTCCTTTCCTTCAGGTTTTCCCTCTGTGCTTTGCTGATTCTGCATACACATGGATTTCCATCTAAAGGTAATGATCTGTTTACTCTTGCCAAACAACTTTTGGGTAACTCTGGTTACTAACTTGGTTTTACTTTAGGCTCCAAATCCCATGGCCAGAGCAGCAGTCACCAAGGAGGAGATGACTTTGCGTCTCAACAGAGATTGTCCACTGGTCACTATGCACCCTTGTACAGTGCTTCTAGGCAAGAAGGATCAGGACAAATGGTTAGTAGTCCCTCTGTGCTCCAGCATCAGGTGTGATGGGTTTTACATCTGAAGGGGTTCCTGCTTGGCCTGGCTCTGTTCCTAGTCAGGCTGTTCCTGGATATCATGCTGTTGTTTTTGTACCTGTTCAAGCGGCGTATGGTGTTCCACAGGTACCTGTACCAGCTGCTGGATACAATGCTGGAGGTCCTGGGTCCAGTTTGCCAGGTATGAAGTATAGTTTGCTAAATGCTGTTAAACAAATGGTGTAATTGATCTATTCTCTCCAGAAACCAAGTGGACCGTTGCTCCTAATATCTTTGAAGAAGGCTTGGCCAACACCCAGATCCTTGACTCCAGCATGCTTCTCCCACAAAACTCTGCACCATCAGGACCAGTCCTCCAGTCTGGGGAGATTTCCAATGTTGAGAAGGAAGCTGAACTTGGGAACTACCAGCATGAATCAGAAAAATTTGGCTACCCAGCTGCCAGCATGGGGCCTGGACTAGGACTTCCTAGTTACCCTATGCCTTATGTTGATGGAGTCTTCTGGGGTAGCCCTTATCTCTACCCTCTCTCCTCTCCTTACCCTTACTTTGACTACAGGCTCCTGTATGGCTTGTACCCTCCTGGCACCTACACCACATTCAGCAAGAGTAATGAGAAGGGAAAGGATTACTACCAGAGCATCCACTACCTGAAGGAGCATGTTCCTGAGATTCCTACTTCTGGGCAGCAGAAGAAAATCTTCCCACAGCCACCAAAGAACATGTGAAGCTGGTTATGCAAGGGCATGTCAGTCTGCAAACTTCAGCTCATCCTAATGTTAAATGAAACCTGTGCAGAAATGAGTTGTTGCTTTTCTGAAAATTAAAGTTGTAACATGTAATGTAATCCTAAACTTGGATCTGGAGATCTTATTCTACACAATAGAAAGCAGAACTTATTTCTACAGTCATCTAACTGGCTCTAAATTTTAAGACCAGTCTGAGAGATTGGTCTCTAAATAGTTGGCCACTCCCACCTATCTGGCTTTTGTGCAAGGCTAATCAGGAAGGACTCCATTCTGCTCCATACACTGCATGGATTTTTTTGATATTAATAAATCAAAGGCCGTGTCATAAGCTCATCGATTGGCTTTGATACTTGGTAATGTTTTTTTCCTGCTACCTTTAACTTGTGTGTACTTAAGTCAAAACGATGTCAGGGCAGTTAAAACAACTTGAGCCATAATTCCTGAAACCAAAGTATGGGGACCCTTCACAGGAGAGACTTGACTGTAGTGGCTGCAGCAACCTACAAAGCTGTGATCTGAAAGACCCTAGAGGTCAATGACTGGAATAACCAAACACTTTCAAAAAGCAAAACAAGTCTGCTTCAAGCCAAGGTGTTGAGGGGATCTGTGACCTAAGGCTCAGGTCTGTTATTGCAGATAATGTGGTCCCATTGGTTTATCACACTGATCTTTAGCTGGAGCGGTTCACAGCTGGAATGAGACTAGGGTTGTCACGGTAACCGGTATAGCGGTAAACCTCGGTAAAAAAGTTGACAATAAAAATAACCGTCCAGTTTTTAAAAAACTATATTATCTCGGTGGGTTTACCGTGGCCGCGGTTTCGGCGCGGTGACCCTTACCTATCGCGTTTAATGCGTGCCACAACCCGTGCACGCGCATTGGGTCCACAGCGCGCGTGTGAACGGGACTCGCGAACGAAAATATACATGGCGAGAGGTCATTTGTGCACTGAGAGGGAGCAACCTGTGTCTGTGAGCGCACAAGTGACAAACCTGCGTGCGCGCGTTGTCAACGACCACACGGCAGAGGAAAACGTGCGCGCGCGGCAGCCTCTCTGCGCGCTCGCCAGCCTCTCTGCGCGCTCGGCAGTAAAGGGGTTTTGGCACTCTGGAGGCGTGGCCTGTGGCAGATCTTCTCTGTCCTCTGATTGGTTAGTTTTTCCCGCACTTCACCCTCTACCTCATTGGCCGATCTTCTCTGTCCTGTGATTGGTCATATTTTGTACCTTTCTCCGTGCCTTTTAGTTCAGCCAGAAGCTCAGCCAGGATGTCGAAGGATTCAGAGGTAAAGTAAAAAATGACTTACGAAAGTGTCCAGGTTAAACCTAAAAGTCACCACGGCAGCTCGGTTCTATCTTAAACGTTGTTGTCAAAAGTGCCTTATATGTGCTATCACAAATTCGTTCCTTTTTCACCGCCATTAACGTAACGTATTGTCTCCGCATATATCGTTTTGTCTTATAAATCTCTTCAGTTTTGCCTTCATTAGAATTTTAGCAGGGAAACCTTTGTGATAATATTACTTTGGGCCCACAATGACAGGGAGAATTGCAGGAAGCTGCTCGGCGTGTGGTGTCCCTGTTGCAGAATGCCCTTTCTGACCCAACATCATCTAGAGCCAGTGAGAACTGTTGCTTTTATTTTGATTTTGCCCACAAAGTTATAACATAAAGCATATGTTGTATTTAACAATTGAGAGTATGATTTTGCTCTGTCTGAAATAATAACAATCTGCAGACCAGGGAAACACAGGAGGACAAGGAGTTCAGCAGCAGAGTAACACTGTAGAACAGAGCATGGCAAGGTTTGTTACTCTGAGGCATTAGTGTTTCACAGTATTAATATTATGATTATTATTATCGTTATTAACAATTTTATAAACCTTTCAGGTGTAATAAATGGGTTTACCATAGTTAGGCTGTCCCATTTATGCATTTTGCTGATTGGCATTTGTTTTATTTTCAATCTTCTACAGATCATTTCCAGGAATATTTGGAAAAAAAAATTTTGGGAAAAAGCGAACCTCTTCATGTGCTGTAAAAGGGTGTCTCAATCCTGTCAAGTCGTTTCCAGTACAATTTTACTTGGTCAACAAAAAGATGGAGACAACACCTAAAGTTTCTGATGAGCTGAAACTTCTTCAGGCAGGGATGGGTCGGCGAACAATCAACATCACGGAGGATGCTGACCATTCATGGGTAAATACGTATAATAGAAAATTATAAGTGATATTAACTGCTGTGCACATTATCCAAATAATGAAACATTATTTTATTTGTTTGTTTCATAGGTTACAATGTATGAAATGTTCTTTAGGAATCTGTTTTTTTTATGTGTGAGGCAAAAGATTTCACATCACATCAATTATTTATAGCTTTCCAGAAAATTGGAGGATGCATACTCTCAATTAGCAGCCTTAAAAGGAGCATGGATGTTATACAAGGCAGTTGGTAAGAAATGACAAATATAACCAGTACAGGCCCAAAGTTTGGACACCAACATGTTATTTTATTCAAAATAGCCACCGGGGTTTTTCCTGGCTCAAATTGAGGTAGAGATGGTACCATCCTGACCGTGCGCCAGCACATGCGCACTCTGTGAATTAAACTGCCTCACTTTTTTAAATGCCAAATATTTATTCGTTAAGTGTTCTAATCTAAGCTTCTGTTTATTAATAGAATATTCCATTTGACAATGTTTGAAATGAAAAAAAAAACTGGTTTGCTGCTAAAAATATGAAATCAAACAACAAAATTATCAGACTGAATTAAAAGACTCTTATTATGAAATGCTCAATAATATGCATTAGATTAGTGTTTATTTCCCTTTTTCCCATCTGCTATTTATAGTTAAAATATTTATATATATTTGACCTACATATCAGTAACATGTTAGATTTGTATTAACACTCATCTTAGTCAAAATGACACATAAATATATCCAGTAAAATATAATGCATTTCATTAACATGCATTTGTGTTTGTTGAGGGGGCATGGGAGTTTGCCCAACCAACCCACATGTGTTTTGTGTATTTGGAGAAGGCTTATGACCGTGTCCCCAGGGTCACCCTGTGGGGGACGCTCCAGGAGTACGGGGTGGGTGGCTTTCTGTTAAGGGCCATTCAGTCCCTTTACCAGAGGAGCGTGAGTTTGGTCCACATAGCTGGTAGTAAGTCGGACCTGTTCCCGGTGAGGGTTGGACTCCGCCAGGGCTGCCCGTTGTCACCGGTTCTGTTCATTACCTTTATGGACAGAATTTCTAGGCACAGCCGTGGTGTGGAGTGTGTCAGGTTTGGTGGCAGGAGAATCTCGTCTCTGCTTTTTGCGGATGATGTGGTCCTTCTTTGCTTCATCCAGCTCTGACCTTCAGCTCTTGCTGGGTAGGTTCGCAGCCTAGTGTGAAGCGGCTGGGAGGAGGATCAGCACCTCCAAATCTGAGATCATGGTTCTCGACCAGAAAAGGGTGACTTGCCAACTCCGGGTCGGGGGAGAGGTCCTACCTCAAGTGGAGGAGTTTAAGTATCTCGGGGTCTTGTTCACGAGTGAGGGTAGGAGGGATCGGGAGATCGACAGGCGGATTGGTTCGGCGTCTGCAGTGATGCAGACGCTGAGCCGATCTGTCGAGGTGAAGAGGGAGCTGAGCCAGAAAGCCAGGCTCTCGATTTACCGGTCGATCTACGTCCCAATCCTCACTTATGGTCATGAGCTTTGGGTAATGACCGAAAGAACGAGGTCGCGGATACAAGCGGCCGAAATGAGTTTCCTCCGTAGGGTGGCCGGGCTCAGCCTTAGAGATAGCTTGAGGAGCTCGGACATCCGGGAGGGACTCGGAGTAGAACCGCTGCTCCTCTGGATCGAAAGGAGTTAGTTGAGGTGGTTTGGGCATCTGGTCAGGATGCCTCCTGGACGCCTCCCTGGGGAGGTGTTTCGGGCATGTCCTGCCGGCAGGAGGCCCCCGGGTCGACCCAGGACACGTTGGAGAGGTTACATCTCCAATCTGGTCCGGGAACGCCTTGGGGTCCTGCCGGAGGAGCTGGTGGAGAAGGCCGGGGAGAGGACGGTCTGGAGCTCCCTAGTTGGGATGCTGCCCCCGCGACCCAGATAAGTGGAGGAAGACGACGACAATGGCATTTGTGTTTGAAATGGTAATAACATTTTATTTCTGCTGCTAACAATGTAATGGTGGCATGTCTATTATGTACGGGTTGGCAATAATCCAGTTTAAATTATGTTCAAAGATAGAAGCGTTTGTGAATTTTATATTACAACAGGTTGTCGTACTTCCTGCTCCTGTGTGACTCGTAACTGCAGCGGTTCAGATCTGTAGCGCTGCAGGATGCAGAATAAACAGGATGGTGGGGACTTTTCATCCGCTTGTAGAGTTTAGTCTTTCTTTGTTTTACGATCATCATATTTTTCTGTGCACCACTTGATCGTGAGACTGCTACCCCTTAGCTTTAGCATTAGCCAACATGCATGTAGCTGCACTTTTGATCCCAAACTTTGGACCGGTTCTGTCTTTGTGCCTTTGCTGGTTCCTTTATTTTCCTCCACTGCATCCAGATGATCACACTGTTTGCCAGTAAAAATCATTTTTCCTATACGTAACTTACTTTTGTTCAATAAAGTTCTGGGGAAAGGAGAAATTCAAAGCCGTACGTTTAAAAATAGACAGACACGCACAGACACCACTGTACAGCCCTGCTCTGATGTGGAAGAGCCTAGGGGGAAATCAGGACGTCAATAGCACCAATCATAGATATGTACCAACTAGCGAAAAAAGCAATTTTTGATCTTTTTCTGCAGCGATTTAAGTGCTTTTCAGTGCACCGCTGCTGATACAGCGCCCTGTAGTGGCACAACGCTGCAACTGCAGGTAAAATAACATCATATAGCTGGGGGCAGAGTGAAATCAGGCTGGGGCGCACAAAAATAGCTGGAGGCGGCCGCCAGCAACTTTGAATGCAGGAAAAACCCTGGCCACCCATTGCTCCGAATACTGCGTTGCACACTCTTGGCATTTTCTCCATGAGCTTCAAGATGTATTCACCTGAAATATGTGTGGGTTCTCTCCGGGTACTCCGGCTTCCTCCCACAGTCCAAAAACATGCCTGTTGGGTTGACTGGTCTGTCTAAATTGTCCTTAGGTGTGATTGTGTGTGTGCATGATTGTTTGTCCTGTGTGTCTCTGTGTTGCCCTGCGATGGACTGGCTCTCTGTCCAGGGTGTACCCCGCCTACTTGCCCGTTGACCCCCCGTGACACTGCGTGGACAAGCGGGTTCAGAAAATGAATGGGTGGATGTTTTTGAAAAGCTTTGATGCCTACTGTGAGAATTTACCAATATTGAATGATAAGGTGTCTCCAAAATTTTGGCCTGTACTGTATATTACTTTTTACACCATGTAATTAATTATTTTCTTCCCCTATGAAATACCGAAAAAATTAACCAATATAATATGTACTTTCTGGTAGGTGGCTCTGGACGAAGAAAATTATGCATTGTACCACCTGAAGCTGACGGCTATACAGGAGCTTACCTCAGTACAGTTGGACGTGGGAAGTCAACACTGTACATTGTCCCTGTCCAAGGAACTATCGATATGTCACCCCTTCCTTACTCTGCAAAAGAGTTTGAAAAAATGCCCAAAGCACCTTGTCAGACATGTTCAGTAAACATGCCAATCCAGTTACTGGCTGCCCATGTAGAAAGCTGTAAAAATGAGTCTTTCAATCAGTACATATGAAGAGGTAAAATAAATTTATTCTGAGTTAGAATTATACAATTTAAATATTCTATATTGCACAGTAGAAATATTAATTTAGATGCTTTGTTTCAGATTGAAGACTTTCAGGAATCAGCAGAAAGCACACATGCCTTTGATGTGCTTGGGGATAATGCCTCTGACACTCCAGAAAGTGTCATGTCTATGAAAGTGAGTAGTTTATCTTTAATTGTAATTATTCCTTAAGATGCCTATGGTACCAGAAAAATGAATACAAATGTCTACATGTTCTTTTCTTGACTGTCATATTTATTTTCCTTGCTAAATATTCTTCAAATCCAGATGTTAATTTATTTGACATGTTTCTTCAGGGAAAATCAAGTTCATAATATCCATCTGATGTTACAGTGTTGGTATACCCCACAGACAACAACCAAAAAAAAAGTTACAATATAAACATTTTCTTCCAGCAAAGATTTTGACGTTTATAAATAGTTTGGATTGTGGAAACACAGTTATGTCCTTGTTTTCTGAAGTGAAATATAGCTTTATCAGGGTTTAATGTTCTTGGTACATTTACAGGTTTTACACAGTAACACTAACAACACCACACGTTAACCCTGGTTTCACACTGAAAGCATCTGCATCGCGCAACAGCAGCGGAACATGACTGCTAAAAATACAATCCATTAAAGTCTATGGAGTGATTCAAACCAGCTGCAACGCCCCTGTTTTCAGAAATGTCCCAGAAGTGGCAAGCCACGCTGCAAAACATGTGATCGGGTTCTATTTTTGCCACAAGCCACTTCTGGAACACGTTAATTTCCACAGTTAACATAGGACTAGACAGGAAATCACACATGGTTTTATTTTAAATTCACCAGTAAATTTTTAAATAAAAGTAGTGCTGCAATGAAATTTACTATATATGTAGCTTACATGTGACCAAACGGCTTATTTACTCCCATTATCTTTCCAGAAGTGCAGCGGTGTGTTTTTCATAGCTTTAAACCTGGAGATGGAGAGGAACATTACAGGGAGTGCAGAATTATTAGGCAAATGAGTATTTTGTCCACATCATCCTCTTCATGTATGTTGTCTTACCCCGGGTTTCCACAGGAGCCGTCAGCAGCACGTTATTGCAGCAGCACGTCTTGCTCGCGTAAACTGCTGCTTGGCCCTTCCCACGAGACGCGAAGCAGCAGGGGTGCAGCTGTCACCGACAGAGCACGAATTCACACGAGTGACTTCGTTAGTAAAGACAAGCAGGAGAAAATTACAACATGGTTTGTGTTTTATGTTCTGTCCGTTTTATAATCGCCAATACGGACCTGAAAAACAAAGGAGACCGCTAGCTAGGTGATAACTTCTCACGGGGCCACAGTTAGTAACCTTTTTTAAAAGTAAAGCAACCGGAAAGCAGTACGTTCTTTATTCTGAAAATCTCGGTAGCTTCTCTCAATTTCCGCGTCCGATTTCCTGTCTTTCCTTCCCCAAAAATGTCGAACTTGACCCGTTTCAGAGGCGTCGCGCGTAGAAAATAGAACCGGCGCGTAAAGGCCGCGACATGCTGCTCCTGAGACGCGGCCGACTCGCGCTGCTGACGGCTCCGGTGGAAAAGGTTCTGTTGACCACAGCGGTTCCTATCAGCAGCTATGACGTGCTGCTGCAGTAACGTGCTGCTGACGGCTCCTGTGGAAAGCCGGGGTTACTCCAAGCTGTATAGGCTGGAAAGCCTACTACCAGTTAAGCATATTAGGTGATGTGCATCTCTGTAATGAGAAGGGGTGTGGTCTAATGACATCAACACCCTATATCAGGTGTGCATAATTATTTGGCAACTTCCTTTCTTTTGGCTAAATGGGTCAAAAGAAGGAATGGCAGACTCAGAAAAGTCAAAAATAGTGAGATATCTTGCAGAGGGATGCAGCAGTCTTAAAATTGCAAAGCTTCTGAAGCGTGACCATCGAACAATCAAGCGTTTCATTCAAAATAGTCAACAGGGTCGCAAGAAGCGTGTGGACAAACCAAGGCGCAAAATAACTGCCCATGAACTGAGAAAAGTCAAGCGTGCAGCTGCCAAGATGCCACTTGCCACCAGTTTGGCCATATTTCAGAGCTGCAACATCACTGGAGTGCCCAAAAGCACAAGGTGTGTATTGCGTCCATGACTCCTGGTGTGAAAATGATGCTTTGAAGCGAGTAAACCGTTATGTGCCATTTGGTGCTGCTGATGCCTCCAGTGTTAAATAGGGGTAAAAATCTCTGGTTCTTTTCCAGTATGGTCTACACAACATGAACTGAATTTGGATTACATAATTAACACAAATGGTGTTTTGATTATCTTATAATGATTTCAGTTCCTTTTGTATATATGTGCATATACTAATGCTGAGGTTTCTTTTAGGCAGAGTGTCCAATTTGCGAGAAGATGTTTTCAAGTGACCTGCTGGAAATCCATGCAAGCTACTGTGGTGAAAGGTATTCCTGTTTTTATTCAAAACACTATTTTACTGTCAAGTGCTGTGCTTTTTAACTATATCTTTTTTTTAATGCAGTAAAATAGTGTGATTTGCAAGCTTGCCCCACAGCAAGATGGTCCTATAGGTTAAAATAATAGTTATGGAGTTTACATGTTGTCCTGTTGCGTGTCTGTTAGAAATGCATTGTACCTTCAGATTTCACATGCAAGACAAGTCTAATGTTATTATGGCCTTAGGGGTATGTATGATTAGTTGTCCTATGTGTCAACCCTGTAGTAGACTGGCTACTGGCATTTAGAAGTTTGTAGAATTAATACAAGGATGTTTTATGAAAGATGTCATTTGTATTTTCACAGAGCCTCTAATGCATCAAATCCAACCACATTGGATGACTCAGAGTTGGTCCCAAAAAGACTGAAAACACATACAGACACAAAAAGGTTATTTTGCACAACATGTCAAGAATATGCTATTTGACTGACACAATTGTTAAAATGTTTCAATTTTAACTCTTTGCTGTGAAACCATCAGCATTGCAGACATCATCAAATGCCTTAATGAAAGAGTTGATGAAACAAGCATCTTCAACATTAGTGTAACAAGGGAAGATATACTGGAAAGGGGGCTGAAACAATGGCAGCGCCAGAAAAAATCATCGCCCCGTCATCCCCTTAGAGTTTCTTTTATTGGGGAGCCTGGAATCGACAGCGGAGCACTGAGGAAGGAATTTTTAACAGGTAGGGTTTTGTTTTATTTTGGGTGGGAGTAGGTAGTCATTTCCTTGAAATCATATCATATGTTATGTTTTCAAATTCTTGTTTGTGATCTCTTTAAATGTGGTGCTCTCTGTTTTTTTTTTTTTTTTTTTATTTACTTAAACAGACATGGTTTCAGGTATTGAGACACGTTTCTTTGAAGGAGGAGAGAGCGGTAAAAACCCCAAGTATTCAATGATTGACGTGGATAAACACAACTTCCAGTTTGTTTTTTAAACTTATTTTCTATCAATTCATTTGTGTTTTTATTATTACTTGTAAATGCTGTCCAATTGTGCAGTTTACCTATACAGGTCCTCCAAAAATTAGCATATTGTGATAAAGTTCATTATTGTAATGTACTGATAAACATTAGACTTTCACATATATTAGATTCATTACACACAACTGAAGTAGTTAAAGCCTTTTATTGTTTCTAACATTGATGATTTTGGCATACAGCTCATTAAAACCTAAAATTACTGTCTCAAAAAATTAGCATATCCAGACAATAATGAACTTTATCACAATATGCTAATTTGGAAGGACCTGTATTACAGACATAAGTTATTCAGATTCTCAATTCAATGTATGTAACACAAATTAATAAAACACAGTAAAATACTTCATTAACTCCACTTGTTGCGCAATTCACAATTGAATTCAGTGTATTTTCTATTTTTATAATTTACAGAACAATAGGAGAAATATTTGCAGTCAGCATCACACAGGGTGGACCACCACCAAACTTTTTAATGCAGTGGTGCTACAAGTACATGTCAAATGGGGAAATCGACCAGGATGGATTAAATGAAAATGATGTTACTGACCCTGAACTTATGGAACTCATGAAAGAGGTAAGAAATAAAAATGTGAAATACTTCTATGTCTTTAAACCACAAAAATGTCCTTGACCTCAAATGATTTTAAGTTATCTCTGTAAGATTAAAGAAGCAGATGAAACAACACTGATGACCTACACCGACAGGATTTTGTTGTGTGGATACACGGGACCAATAACCATTCAAAAGAAGGAAGACATCCTTTGGTAAAAGTGTCTTAAAAGAGCTTTAATAAAAGACACACTGCATGCAGACTAGGGCTGGGCTGTATGGCCTAAAATCAATATCACTGTATATTAAGGAGCTCACCTTGATAATGATAATTGTGCGATAACATGTATTTGCCAAAAGAAATGCTGTCTACTAGTTGGGGCTGTCACGTTTTCATAAGACTGGAGGTGGTACAGCATGTTAAAGGGACGTTAACATCACCAACCTAAAAACATATTTATATTTTTTTTCTGTATTTTATTACTGAATTTATTGACATGGGAAAGATATTGGCTACAGTAAGATAATTCAATAACAATACTTTATTTGATGCGTTGCCCATTACTAATAAATACAGATGAACACGTGTTTGGGTCAAAGCTCTAAAATATGGATTTATGTTTCAGCTCAACAGTCTTGCATGCCACGATGAGGTTGCTGCCTATGCTTCAGCAGATCTGCTCAGGAATGAAGCTATATGGTCTCCTCAGCCTGGTCCAGCAGGAAAAAGACATCTGCAGGCAACTGTTTGTGCCTGGATCTTTTGGCAAGGTACATTAACCATGTACTTGTAACCGAACCTACACCACATTCTCCCACCCAACCTTGCAGGCATTCTCAGAGTGTGAGGTTGCTAAAGTTTGACCCAACAAAAATCAGGCAGTGATGACTTTGATTTGTTAATTATATAAAATTGCAGCCACTATCATTGCTGCTCCCATTACACACATTTAGAAATTATCCCTACATGCAGCCCAAATAACTCATGCCTGGAAGTCAGCCTTTTTGCATCCTCTTTTAAAGGGTGTGTATCATTCAGATCACAACAGTTATAGGCATATTTGTGATTTGCCATGTCTTTCCAATGCTTTGGAAAAACTTTTAAATGGTCAACACTTATTATGTGGGAGCAGACAACATTTTATCTGATGTTTAATCATGTTTTAGACCTTGTTATGGCTGTTCAACTGCAACCCTCAAAGTCCTAAATGACATTTCTTCTTTTGACTCAAAGTTGCATTGTGTAGCTATTTCTATCAATTTTGCAACAGCGTTTCACACAGTGAATCACAAATTTCTTATTGATCGGCTTTGATATATTGTCATTGCTGATATTTCTTTATCTTTGTTCGCAAATTATTTTATAGACAGACAGCAGTTTGTGAAGTCATAACAACTCCACACAGGTCAATACTTGGTCCCACCCTTTTCTCCATTCACATAAATAATGTAGCAAAGTATGTTGTGGATTCATGTGTTCATCTCTATGCTGACAATGACAAAACAGTCCTCTACTCCGTTGGGCCGCTCTTTCTATAGTTTACTGACAACTACAGCTCAGTTTCAATAGTATACAAATTGCCTTTTCCAGTTTGCAACTTCAGTTAAACAAATCTAAAACTACAGCCATGTGGTATAGGGAATAAGGTGATATGCCATCTAATTAAACCAAACACCTCTGTGGATGGAACATCTGTAGAACAGGTTACTGAATAGAAATATCTGTTCATCTGGCTAGACAGTACTCTGTCTTTTTCAAAACATATCAACAATATACAGACTTAAGATTAAATCAAAACTTGGCTTCCTCTACAGAAGGTGTTCCTCATTCACTTCATCTGCAAGGAAAACATTGGTGCAATTCACTGTTCTACCAAAGTCTGATTATGGTGATGTCATTTGTCGATCATCACACAGAGGTTTAAAGCGAGTGTCAAGGCATGGGTGGAGACGTATTTCATCCACACTTCCTGTTAGGGAAACACTTCTGATATAGGCGTGTCTCTCAGGAGAACAGCATACACAGATTCTGCAGCATTCTGGAGGATTTCCTGTTAACCACAATCATTAGATGAGAAGGGGAGGAGGGCTTTATTTCACATAGGTAAGCAGCTCAGAGCGCTAACGTGTCATATCAGCAGGTAAGTAGCTGAGCCAGGTGGAGGTGTGGCTGCCTCACCAGGAGACCAGGGCGGTTCTGCCACATAGTAATTTGCTGATAACGTCACGTTTTTCATCTTAGCCATCAGCCACAGCTGGTTCCACATAAATGTGGAGCATAGTTTTAACCAAAAGATTGAGATATAATTATGGTTTTGGGATTAAATATTACATTTAGAATAAGTTATATTTAAGTGTCACACTAATGATTACACATGTGTACAGCACCATTAGACCCTCATGTATACAGGTTTTCAGCAAAACAAGTTAATTTAGGCATTACTTGCTCTTTAAGCTCGATGTTCTTTACCACACTGCCCAACGGTTTGTTACAGACGCTCTTTGTAAAACTCAATACTGTATTCTGTATTATCTTAACTGGTCATCATTGTACACATGTTGCTAAATACACTGTTTCATGTTCATTTTACCCTCCCACTGTCCTAATGGATGTGGCCCCTTGAGGAAAGTTGACCATTGACCAGGGTTGGTTTATCCCTTCAGGTCCATGTGGCAAAGGTGATGTGGTGCTCACTTGTCCCCCTTGCCACATGGACCTCAACGTATAAACCATCAGCCCTACTCAATGGTCAACTTTCCTTGCTGGGTCACATCTATTAGGACAGTGGGAGGGTTAAAAACTGTCCTTGGTTTGTCTCCTCCTTATTTGCAACATTTTTAATCTCCGGCTTACAATACTCTATCTGCAAACCTTATTTTGACAGTTCCTAAAACAGCTTATGCATTTGGCTCATTGTCCATTCAGACTGCAGCTGCTAGAGACTGGAACGACCTACAATAAACCCAAAAAATGGTCTTGTTTATCTCAAAGGCAGCTTTCAGAACTGTGATCACGGAGCATTTTCAAGGAACCTGCTGTTGTCACTTACACTGACTTATATTTATTTAGATCTTATATCTAATAGAGTTGATGTGGTGCACTTATTTTTTCTTATTAATGCAATTTAAAACTATTACATGATACCGTCTTTTTTGCCACTCATAAGGCACTGTCTTTTGCCAGGCCTCAGTTGTAAATAAGAAGTCTGTTCTTAAACTGTGTTTTCCTGTTTACATAAAGGTTAAATAATAAATAAATGTAATGTACTATAGATTTATAATACCAACAGAATACATTTTAATTTTACTATTGTTTGCATAATTAAGGTGGATGCTGACTTTCTAGTCCAGTCACTGTCACCCGTCTTCAGTGAAAGTGGAACAATGAAGCGTCAAAGGGAGAACAGAATAGTCAACTTTCTTCAGGACTTTGTTCAGGACATGGATGATCAGGGTAAGTAATGTATCCAGATTAACACTGTCATACATTTCTAAGTTTGTCTGAGAAATAGAGCAATGTTGTTGATTATTTAATTTTTTCAGAAGACACAACAGGAGGTGAGCAGTCTGAAGAGTTCAAAATGGATGCAAACCCGGAGAGAACAGAAGGGAACTTCAACAGTCAGTGGCTTAATGTTGGCAAATTTTGCCAGTGGCTGACTGGACAGCGTCACATCCCATTGAGTCCTACTGAGCGTGGGACATTCAAAATAGTCATGGAATTTGACCACGACTGCAGTGCACGTTTTGGAAAACATAGCATTTGCTACCCTGTGGTTAATGCATGTTCTTGTTCTATCACATTCCCAGTGTCACATTTAACCACATACTTGGAATTCAAAACTGTCATTTCACAGGCTATTATCCATGGAAATGAATTTGGACGACACTAAGAACTGAATACAGCACAGCAAAGAATCAAAAATGTGTGTTACCTAATTATACTAGTTCATGTTTTCTGCATGCAGTTTTTTCATTTTTAGTTACATAAATGTTCAGTTTTTACCATAAATGTTGAGTTTCACAAATTATTCACACATGAGGGATTGTTATGTACTTTATCTGTACATTGTATGATACAGGAAGCTGTACAGTAAAAAACAATGTTTTGTTTCAGACAATGTTGTATGTCACAATCATTAAGCAAATGTTTGCTGTTAAACATGTTAACCAAATATAATGATTTATGTAGTAAAATTTAAAAGTAGGACTGCAAAAAGCCAACAATGCTGGGAATTACATGTGTAAAAGTCATTTTACTAACCCAGCACCAGCATCATTACTAAGAGTGTGAGCGCAGTTGTCTCATATGTTCATGGCAGGTAAGATACAGCTGTTCATCTGTAACATTTGTGTTGGTTGGATCTACCACAGTCTGTAGGTGATTAATTTCTTCTTCTGTAAAAGGGCTGTCATATTCAGGAACTACAACGCCAGTTTCAGGGTCAAGGCCATTGTAATCAACTGCAGTCTCCCAGTCAATTTCCGGTTCGTCAAGGTCCTGTAAATTTAAGAACAGTAAAAATACTTTTCCGTAAGTACATGTTATGTATGTACATGTACAAAACATAACGGAAAAAAAGTGAAAAAAATAAGTTGTAAAGTCATAATGATCATCCAAACCTATTCAATTAAATACATTAAAATCATCAAACTGTCATGACAAGTCTAAAACCAATGACAGATTATAAATGTATCTTGAAAGAATATTAAAAAATTAGGTATGTTAAAGCAGCTTTAAATGAAAGGGTCTTCAGCTGCATTTTAAAGGTATGCGAGCATGCTGGTAAACACAAAGAAAAAGCAAGTTAATTTCAAAGCCGGAGGGAAATAGCTTGTAAATACTGATCACCTGCGTGAACTTCTATATCTGGCATTGGGAAATTCTAGAAGGTTCTGGTTTTTAGAACTGAGGGCTCAGGTGTAAGCATAAGGCTTATATATTTTTATTAATGTTGACATACATTCATCCACATAAATTAATTGAGATTTAGCTTTAGAAGATATTTGGATTTTACTAAATGTCATTCATGGACTTTTGTCAGAAAAAATTGCAGATGTTTCCCTGTTTTGATAAATGTCTAATATCTGGTAACATTGAACACTGCACCGTAAGTGCAACCTCTGCATCTTTTGTCCATTTATAGTTTATTAAATAACATGTAGCAGTGTGTCCTACATACTCTACAAAAATGTAGATACATAGGAGTCAGATGTAG